AGTGCAAGGCAGTGACAATGTGAGTTTGATAATAGTGGAGTAAGAAAGAGCAGTGCTAGCGGGATGGTGGAGTAAGAAAGAGAATTGAAAGTCATTTGGAAAAGGGCATTTGAAGGAAAGAGTTATATTGGAAAAGGGCATTTGAAGAAAAGAGTTATATAGGAAAAGGACAAATGAAAGAGTAATATTCAGAAAGGGCAAAGGAAAGAAATATATTGGGAAGGTTCAAAAGAGGTATCCAGGGTTTTTTATTTCTAAATTTTTAGTAGAAGTAGTCTGGAACCAATTTTTCGATCAAAAGTGTGTGTGTTACTGTAAGCTTAACTCATTCGCCCCCAAGAGATTTCTGGAAAATCAGGCATTTTCGAAAATTTGCAATCACATGCAAATTATATGCAAATTAGCAGACTCTTGATGCTGTAACTGATGCTCATCTATTAAGCTATGTATTGAGATTTGGGGGCGGATGGCATGGGTGGGGGGTCGGGTGGCAGGTGGAATATTTTCTCGTGGGTTTGAACCCACCCCCACTGAAAAATGTTAATTTTCCGTCTATTTTCCGATTTTAAAACGACCTTGAGAGGTAAACATTGACTGTTTTTCTTTGTCATTCAAGTATTACCCTATAGTTACAGCAGTCCATTCATGCTAACTGGGAGTATATTGGACTTAAGTGTCTTGCTGGGGAATTATTATTGTCAAGTCAGGTCTGCCTAAATGTCCGTTTTTACGGATTTTTGACAAAACGGTGACCTAGATTTTACGGACTAGATTCCTATTGGCCATATTATACCTCGTTGTGTTCCTGTACCACCTATGCATGCATTTATGATAATAGTTTATACCTACAGTCACTACCAGTTACGTAGTGGCCATCAAAAGATGCCCACCCCCACCTGATTTTGGCTACTTTTCACGTTTTTCCGATTTTGAACTCTCAAACGGCTTTCAAAGTGCCATATTTTCATGAACAGACATCTGAGAAGAGTTTATGGACCATGATCTGCTTGGTTGAAGTCCCTGCTATCATGACAGTTCAGCTGGGGCAGTTCAAAAATGGTATGGAGGGTCATACGGGCCATCAAAGAATGGTTGTCGCCATCACGCCTACAGGCGGGATTGGGGGCTAAAGGGTTAAACGATTTGATCAAAATTTTTAAATTTGACTTCTGTTGGGTTTGAGGGTCGTTTTGGGGTGTAAAACTGACCAAAACACTCTTTAGAGGTTGAAAATCGGGAAAAAAATATTTTTAGTTTAACTCATTCGCCCCCAAGAGATTTCTGGAAAATCAGGCATTTTCGAAAATTTGCAATCACATGCAAATTATATGCAAATTAGCAGACTCTTGATGCTGTAACTGATGCTCATCTATTAAGCTATGTATTGAGATTTGGGGGCGGATGGCATGGGTGGGGGGTGGGGTGGGAGGTGGAATATTTTCTCGTGGGTTTGAACCCACCCCCACTGAAAAATGTTAATTTTCCGTCTATTTTCCGATTTTAAAACGACCTTGAGAGGTAAACATTGACCAGACTGTTTTTCTTTGTCATTCAAGTATTACCCTATAGTTACAGCAGTCCATTCAAGCTAACTGGGAGTATATTGGACTTAAGTGTCATGCTGGGGAATTATTATTGTCAAGTCAGGTCTGCCTAAATGTTCGTTTTTACGGATTTTTGACAAAACGGTGACCTAGATTTTACGGACTAGATTCCTATTGGCCATATTATACCTCGTTGTGTTCCTGTACCACCTATGCATGCATTTATGATAATAGTTTATACCTACAGTCACTACCAGTTACGTAGTGGCCATCAAAAGATGCCCACCTCCACCTGATTTTGGCTACTTTTCACGTTTTTCCGATTTTGAACTCTCAAACGGCTTTCAAAGTGCCATATTTTCATGAACAGACATCTGAGAAGAGTTTATGGACCATGATCTGCTTGGTTGAAGTCCCTGCTATCATGACAGTTCAGCTGGGGCAGTTCAAAAATGGTATGGAGGGTCATACGGGCCATCAAAGAATGGTTGTCGCCATCACGCCTACAGGCGGGATTGGGGGCTAAAGGGTTAAACGATTTGATCAAAATTTTTAAATTTGACTTCTGTTGGGTTTGAGGGTCGTTTTGGGGTGTAAAACTGACCAAAACACTCTTTAGAGGTTGAAAATCGGGAAAAAAATATTTTTAGTTTAACTCATTCGCCCCCAAGAGATTTCTGGAAAATCAGGCATTTTCGAAAATTTGCAATCACATGCAAATTATATGCAAATTAGCAGACTCTTGATGCTGTAACTGATGCTCCTCTATTAAGCTATGTATTGAGATTTGGGGGCGGATGGCATGGGTGGGGGGTGGGGTGGGAGGTGGAATATTTTCTCGTGGGTTTGAACCCACCCCCACTGAAAAATGTTAATTTTCCGTCTATTTTCCGATTTTAAAACGACCTTGAGAGGTAAACATTGACCAGACTGTTTTTCTTTGTCATTCAAGTATTACCCTATAGTTACAGCAGTCCATTCAAGCTAACTGGGAGTATATTGGACTTAAGTGTCTTGCTGGGGAATTATTATTGTCAAGTCAGGTCTGCCTAAATGTCCGTTTTTACGGATTTTTGACAAAACGGTGACCTAGATTTTACGGACTAGATTCCTATTGGCCATATTATACCTCGTTGTGTTCCTGTACCACCTATGCATGCATTTATGATAATAGTTTATACCTACAGTCACTACCAGTTACGTAGTGGCCATCAAAAGATGCCCACCCCCACCTGATTTTGGCTACTTTTCACGTTTTTCCGATTTTGAACTCTCAAACGGCTTTCAAAGTGCCATATTTTCATGAACAGACATCTGAGAAGAGTTTATGGACCATGAACTGCTTGGTTGAAGTCCCTGCTATCATGACAGTTCAGCTGGGGCAGTTCAAAAATGGTATGGAGGGTCATACGGGCCATCAAAGAATGGTTGTCGCCATCACGCCTACAGGCGGGATTGGGGGCTAAAGGGTTAAACGATTTGATCAAAATTTTTAAATTTGACTTCTGTTGGGTTTGAGGGTCGTTTTGGGGTGTAAAACTGACCAAAACACTCTTTAGAGGTTGAAAATCGGGAAAAAAATATTTTTAGTTTAACTCATTCGCCCCCAAGAGATTTCTGGAAAATCAGGCATTTTCGAAAATTTGCAATCACATGCAAATTATATGCAAATTAGCAGACTCTTGATGCTGTAACTGATGCTCATCTATTAAGCTATGTATTGAGATTTGGGGGCGGATGGCATGGGTGGGGGGTGGGGTGGGAGGTGGAATATTTTCTCGTGGGTTTGAACCCACCCCCACTGAAAAATGTTAATTTTCCGTCTATTTTCCGATTTTAAAACAACCTTGAGAGGTAAACATTGACCAGACTGTTTTTCTTTGTCATTCAAGTATTACCCTATAGTTACAGCAGTCCATTCAAGCTAACTGGGAGTATATTGGACTTAAGTGTCTTGCTGGGGAATTATTATTGTCAAGTCAGGTCTGCCTAAATGTCAGTTTTTACGGATTTTTGACAAAACGGTGACCTAGATTTTACGGACTAGATTCCTATTGGCCATATTATACCTCGTTGTGTTCCTGTACCACCTATGCATGCATTTATGATAATAGTTTATACCTACAGTCACTACCAGTTACGTAGTGGCCATCAAAAGATGCCCACCCCCACCTGATTTTGGCTACTTTTCACGTTTTTCCGATTTTGAACTCTCAAACGGCTTTCAAAGTGCCATATTTTCATGAACAGACATCTGAGAAGAGTTTATGGACCATGAACTGCTTGGTTGAAGTCCCTGCTATCATGACAGTTCAGCTGGGGCAGTTCAAAAATGGTATGGAGGGTCATACGGGCCATCAAAGAATGGTTGTCGCCATCACGCCTACAGGCGGGATTGGGGGCTAAAGGGTTAAGGATGTAGTTTAAAAAATCTATAATTTAAAATTGATACTATAAGTCAGAAGAGCATAAGTAAAGGAACAAAATAAGCTAAAATTATTGATAGGTTATGGATCTCCTTTTTGTGATATTTGATTTTTTAAAAATGGCGGGAAAAGGCTGACTGGGAATTTTACCTTAAATTTCATTGGCATTATTTGGGTCTCAAATCGTAAGAAAAAATATCTAGAATTTATTAAATTTTGGTAAATACCTTTTAATGTGCTATTGAACTCTTCTATGAAAAGAAAAGTGGGTCATATGGGGCAAAATATTTTACCCCGTATCGTAGGACAAAATCAAAGAAATCCGAACATTTGACAAAAATTCATAAACCTGACATAAGTACATCCTAAGACAGGGTCAGTGTACAAAAATATAAAGTATCTCTTTGTTTCATATTGAAAAAATAAACTTTTCTAGAGGTAAATTCTGCAAAATTTTCTGCCTTCAGTTTTAATTTTGAGACAGAAAAGTCAGCTTTCTTCAAGTATCATCAATTTCGTTTTTATAGAGCAAAAAATAAAAGATGAAAGGAGCATGCGCCAATATCTTTCTTTATATGACTGAAATAGATTATCATCCTTTCATATAAAAAACAATAGTTATAAAAACAAAAAAATCTGATGTCTTTTCTTCTATGATAATGCTGAATTGATTACACTTGATGTTAAAAATTGTCAAGGAGAAGTAGGGTATACACAATTATGATGGAATAACTACACAAACACCCTCAAAACATCTATACTAACTTCAAGATGAAGAACAGGAATAAAAGCCCTGTTCATTGATAATTTTCTATGTTTTCTATGTATTGTGTGCGATTTTGTCCCATGTACATTTACTCCATATCCTATCATTTTCTATTATTAGGCTTCAACAAGTTAAGTGTATAATAAAACACAAAATGTCAAGCTCTAATTCAACACAGGTCTAGTTCTGAATAATTTTAATACTTGATAGAAAATAGATCTGCCATACCAAGTTTCCTAAATGACAAGATTGTACTATTTTCAGAAGCGACAGTTGTATATAGAGATGGATTGCCGGTGTTTTCAGTGCCTTTACCGTCCAGACGACAAAGTTGTGAATTTACCATGAAACCAGTGACACATACAGTTGGTAAATTCCTGTCATTTCTGAAAGAAGAGGATGGTGGGATTGACAGAGCAGCTATATTTACAGAGGGTAAGAGGGAATTTCTCTAATTTTATAAAATTTTCAGGATTTGCAAATATTTGACAATAGAGTTACTGCCCTTGATTTTCTATGATTAATTGATGAAAAATTGTAAATAACACTTGACAATGGACTAACTGACCCCAATTGTTTAATTTGTCAGTTTTGCTTAATAAACATGCTGTACAAAAGAAAAACAAAGGATATGGGGTATCAATCCAATGACACAAAATCAGTACATGTACATCTTAAAACACACAAAAGCAAAGGAAGAGAGCTTTTATTGCTGTTCTTCATCTTAAAGTCACAGTGAGGCCTCTCACATGAATAGACACAAAACCAGTGCATTACAACAGGACACTTTTAATTATTTATAGTTAAATTTCCTTGCCAGTAGTTCAAAAGGAATAAGACAATATCCAGTAAGGAAGTGGAGTTACTTCCCCTGACGATATCATATATGTTTAGTTTTATTTCATACAAGATTGTAAAACAGGATACATTTTTATGGAGAATATGTAAGTTATCATTGATAGATTTCCTGACCTGAGTTGTTCAAAGGAAAAGACATTTCTCTGTAAGGAAATGGATTTATTTCCCTTGATTTTATTTTATGTAGAAATTTTTTATAAAAGAAAATTATAAAACAGAATTCCTTTTAATGTGAAGTATCTCAATTATCATTGAGGAATAAGCATGATACAACACAGTACAATAAAGAAAGCATGCATTGAATGTGCACCTCTGATTTTGCAATAGATAAAAAAATGCAATTTAGGAAGGAAAGAAAACGGAGTATATGATATAATAATGTAGTTGAGCAGGGTACTGTAAATTCAGAAATATTTGCATGCATTTACAATCGACAAAAATTATCAATTATTGCAATTTCAGGAAAAGTGGCTTTATTTTGCCTAAAAACTTCTGAAATTACAGTAATTTCTGGCTTATAATTGCAAGGAAATGAGAAAAAGTACAGATATACAAATGGAGTAATTTGTCCCTGTATATTTACAAAATGATACAGGATGTATTACAATGTTAATTTTTTTATCAGTGTTGATTGATGCATATTTTCTTGTCAGTGTTTGAGTAGAAATGAGACATCAATGGAGTTACTGCCCCTGAATGGTACACTATTTAGTAGATTTATTGTCATACGAAAACAAAATAGGATGTATTACCATGATTACAGTGTTGATATATTGATTGAATTGATAGATGAATATTTTCATGCTAGAAATTGAGAGAAATTGGGACAATATATTGAGAATATCATAAGACTTTTTCTATATCACACCTGTATCAACTGGAGACCCCAATATAATCCCAAGGGCTCTGAGAAATGATATAGTGTGTGATATTAAAAAAGCCAATACATATTCTTATATGATATAACCCAAGTAGACATTTTTGTCCCCCAAGCAACGTGTTGCGGGGGACATAGAAATACCTGGCGTGCGGTCTTGTTAGGGCTCTCACGTGTACAATTCTTTCCAGATTTTTATGAAACTTATATCATATGTTGATATAAGCAATGTCTTGGACGAGTTTGAAAAATCAGTGCCGATGAGTTTTTTTTTTTTTAAAGAGTTATGCCCCTTGGAAACATTAATAATTTGGAAAATTGCATCGTTAGCGCTCTCATGTGTATAATTCTTGCCAGATTTTTATGAAACTTATATCATAGGTTTATATCAGCAATGTCTTCAACGAGTTCAAAAATCAGTGCAGATTAGTTATTTTTAAAAGAGTTATGCCCCTTGGAAACATTAATTATATTGAAAATTGCATTGTTTAATAAGCGCTCTAATGTGTACATTTCTTGCCAGAATTCTATGAAACTAAAATCATAGGTTTATATCAGCAATGTCTTTAACGAGTTCGAAAATCAGTGCCGATTAGTTATTTTTAAAAGAGTTATGCCCCTTGGAAACATTGATTATATGGAAAATTGCATTGTAACAAGTGCTCTTGCATGTACAATTTTTGCCAGATTTTTATCAGTTTCTTATCAAAGGTATATAACAGAAATGTCTCAGACAATTTCAAAAATAACTGCCGATCAAATGTTTTTAATGAGTTTCCCTTGGAAATATCCAATATATCAGAAATTGCTCTCAAGTCTTCAACTCTAGAAAGATAATTTTAAAAAGTTTTAAAGAACAAAAAAAATCTTTTTTAAGTTATTATTTTTGGACAGAGCAGATAAAATATTTGCAAAACAGGGAACATTGAAACTTTAATTTCACATGACATAATTCAGATTAGGTGTTTGATAAATCTTGAATGGCTGATACAGCACAATTGCCATGTATGAAGTATTACACATGTATAAAATTAATAGTTATAGCAATGGAGTTACTGCTCCTGTATTGTATACTGTTTAATAAAAGATTGAATTTCAGTTGTAAACAAAACAGTATGTAATACAATGTTGATATATTGATCAATATTGATAGATAAATATTTTGTAGCCATTGATTGAGAGAAAATGAGACAATATGTGGTTATAAAAAGAAGAGTTACTGCCCTTTAATGGTGCCATGTTTAGTACTAGATTGAATTTCAGATGAAAACAAGACAGGATATATTACAAAACAAATATACAATGTTGATAATATTCATCAATTTATATTGATGAATATTTTCTGGCTATTGATTGAGAAGAAATGAGACAATATATAAGTTCCAGCAATGGAGTTACTGCCCCTTAATTGTACACTGTTTAGTAAATTTATTATCAGACGGAAACAAAATAGGATGTATTACAATGTTGATATAATGATCAATATAGATTGATGAATAATTTCTCGCCAGTTATAGAGAAGAAAGACTCTATATAGTTAAAGCTATGGAGTTACTGCCCCTTAATTGTACACTGTTTAGTAGATTTATTGTCAGACAGAAACAAAACAGGATGTATTACAATAGGGATATATTGACGGTTATTGATAGATCTCAAAGCCGGTTATTAAGAGGGAAATGAGATGTCATTACAGGAATGTATTACATTTGATTGTTTCATCCATCACGGCTGTCTTGTCAATGGCTTATATAAATAGTTGATTCCGTAACTTAGTATTAATGAATTCTTTGCCGGAAATACTAGTACATGCAATGCAATCCTATGAGATTGGGAAAAAAACAATACATGGTATCATACAATTTTACAAAGGTTCTAAATGAAAAATGTAGAGTTGGGAAAATGTCCAAGGAATTTGAATGGCCAGGAGATTCTTCTGAGATAAAATTGTGTCAGTAAAGTTCTCCAGTCAGTTGCCTAAGATATGAAGTATAACTGATGTAGATATGTAAATATATAAATTATAAAGACATAAGTAAATGTCTTTAAATCTATCAATTGCGCTAGAAATAATAATCTTTCCTAAAAGAAGAGTATGCTCTGCAATAAACGACAAATCATGCAAAACCCTTCAGCATTCCATATGTGCCTGTCCCAAGTCAGGAGCCTTTAAGTCAGTGGTTGTCATTTGGTGCTGTATATCATATTTGTTTTTGGTCTACTTTTTGAACATTAATCAGGCCGTTAGTTTTCTAGTTTGATATGTTTTACATTTGTCATTTAGAGGCCTTTTATAACTTGCTATACATTATGGGTTTTGCTCATAGGCCAAATGGTGACCTATAGTTGCTAACTTCTACGTCATGTGGTCTCTGAAGGAGAGTTATCTCATTGGCAATCATACCACATCTTCTTATTTTTATAAATGATGAAAATTTTGAACAAATTTTGAAAGGAAAAAGTTAATTTAAAAGGCTTTATCAATTCATAGATTCTCTGCTTTTTTTTAAAAGTTCTTATAGCAAAGAATACAGTTTCAATATACTGTACTAAAAAACTTAAGGATTAGCATCATTTGGTTCTATAATCTTAACATGATGACTTGTTTGTCCTCTTACAAATTGAAAAGAAACTCATTTTGATAAATCTAATTTGAAATCACTTCAATATAATTACATTGAAATTGTACAATTTCTTACAGGGAAATTGAAGTTTGATTAAAAATAGTATGGAAACCCTTATTTGGTAAAATAAAAATCCAATTACATGGCAGATATTTTGTTGAAAGGAGTAATTTTAGTAGTAATTTACAAAATGTAGTTTGTGAGGAGAAAATTTATGAAGTCTGGTTTGAAAATCTGGTTGTTAAACTCATTTCTGTATAATTCAAAACTGATTAAACTAGATTTAGGGAAAAGTATGGTTGATAATTAATGCTAGTTTTTTTTTCTTTGGATAGAGATAAGATTAACCTCAATATGAAATGGCAGAGATGTTTGATTATTAAAGAGACAAATATCAACATAAAAATCGAAATAATTATAAACGTTTTACCATAGTTTGAAATTCAACCAAGAATTCCCTTCAAACAGACGATTATAAGGAGTTGTTTTGATGTTATAGTGAGTTGTGAGCTTAATTTAATCCAGGTTGTAGGCCTCATTTTGTCTTTAAGCTATCCATTTCTTTGCTTTTGATTTTGTGAAGTGTTACACAGGGATATTTTGTCATGTGAATTAAGACACTTGTTTTTTTTTATCAATGAGATCATCAAATTTTGTAAAATTATGTTTGAAATTGAACCAATTTTACATCCTTCCATTAGCTAGTATTTTATCATACAGAATCTTCATGAATTCTGAAGTCTAAAAAACCCGTTAATCAAATTGATCCCATGCTTTATCATCTTTTCTTCATTTTACAATTCTAGGGATTTCTTCGGAGATTGTGATAGATGGCATAACAATAGAAGATAAAAACGTCTTTATAAACCTAATGTGAGAACGTGACAGGCCTACAAAAACAGTAATCAAATTCTGGTCTGTTACCTAAAGTAGCCAATCTTGATTCCACCACGGAACCTTTCTCATTAGGACAGAAGTGTTTATTGGGGAGAACAATGATCTATTTCTATTCAGAAGAAATCGTAACAGAAAGTTAATTTGATTTTCATGGTAGATGTTTGTATTTATTTATGTATGAA